TCATGATATAATTCCAAAATTGTAAAGAAGCAACGCTAACGAATTATTTTGTTTACTTGACAAAGTCATCGGTCATAACAGACTGTCTTCCTTGTCTCTCTTCATCATCCATGTCTGTCACCTCTCTGAAGATTTTTGTTTGATTTCCTCACACAACCTTTACTCATAAACTTTTTTTGCACGCGGCACTCATCCACTTATGGATATCGGTTTCATTTTGCCTACACCGAATATGTGGTTTATGCTGTAATTTACTACTTGCGAGTAGTGAATTACAACGTGAACCTCATATTCGATGGAAATTTCGAATACATTATCTAATATTTTCTGCTTGTTACAGATCACGCAACAACACAGTAACGAATCGCATAATGTTACCTAAGCCAACACTCGACAGCTTATTTTTGCACAAGCGCCGAGGCACTGCAGACAACCACGTGCTTATACCAACTAATTGGACGTTAATTTCCAGAGATCCTATCTATTAATAGTGATAACAAACTATGGCAAACACAATGTTAATTATTACGAAAAATTTTTACACAAATATTTTTTTTTTTGGATTTTTGAATGGTCTGTGTAGAGAAATCTTAAAACACGAATATTTACAATTGACAGAACGCACGCAACGAACAGTAGACGTAGTAAAAAATGTCAAAGATATAAATATCTTCTCATTCACTCTATTTACATATTCTATTTCTTATATTCGTAAATTGTTATTCTCGTTATAAGTATTAGAAAAAAAATAAACTTTAGTGCATTACTTTATTTTCTTTATATTCAAGTTATACATACAATAAAATAATATATTACAATATTTTAAAGCATATAATTTTGGTGCTCATATTAAAAAGTTATAGTGACAAAATAATTTTCTTTAACATTCAAAATTATTTTTTACCAGTGTGAAACTGGCAGTTCTCAAATGCAAATTAAACATAGAAAACAAATAGGAACGGATACGTATTGTGTTTGTTCTATGCATTTTCATGTAGCACTACAAGTGTTTTTTTATCTACATAATTTTATACATTTTTTTATGTTTATATTGGAGAACATATACAAATTATTTATTTTTGTGAAAAAAATATTATATTTGTTATTAAGCAAATAGAAATTATGTAATAAGTGCCTTTTTTGTGTTTGAATATATACAGAAAATGAAAAGTTATCTATGGTGTCAGAAATGTAGAAAAAATTCACAATATTGATGTGCTGTTTTGGTCTGTGATTTTAGTAAACATTTTTGCACATTTTTTTTCTTTTTCCATCACACCTATCAAATCGAGGATTGTAGAGAATATAGAATACAATCCGCTGACCATCTGCAAAAAATTCAAAAATGACCAATGCCACAACTCAGTGAGAAAATTAAGTGAAGGTTTTCCATACCTTGATAAGAAAGTCTTGTTTTATGTAGAAAAAACCACCAATTGAGATGGCCAATGGAATTTTTCCAAATCTTTTAATAAAATCATCTATCTAAATAAAAATAATCACTATAAATTAATAAATATATTTCAGTTTTTTTATCGAGATAATGTTTTCTTTTGTTCTAATAAAAACACGAAATTTCCTGACTGTCATATATAACAGGGGGAAAGTATGGCGTTTAGCCAAAAAGTATATACTAAAATTTTTACAGTTTTGCACCCAAGATACATTAAAACATCGAAAATTGTTTGGTGTAAAGCAGTGTTTTTCAACCTATGGGTCGGTGTCTCCTAGGGGGTCGCGGGTGAAAGAAAAAGACAAGTGTTTATAGGTCCTTTATTACGATAAAGAAAACTAGAATTGAAAAACATTGATGTAAAGCATATAATTCAACAAACTTCTGTTGAAGACTAAAAGAACAACTATATCTTACAATATTTTTGACATATTTTCAGTATTATTATGATTAAATTTTATTAAAATTTAGGAGAAATTGATATTTTAGAGGATGCCATATTCATATTTGTCACATCTTGTTGATCCAATTATTATATTTTTAAATAAAAATATAAATTCAAATTAGCAGTTAAATATTTAAGCCAATATTATTACATTAAAATGTAGTAAGAATTTATTTACAAGTACTGTAATAAATGTACTATGGTGTTATTGTGTACTTCCGTTGATACAAGTGAAATGTAACAAGAATTGACAGAGATTGTGGATATTTTGCATAAGTGTTTTTCCTCAAAATACAGTAAATTTGATGAAAAATATAATAAATCCATACTAACTTTGAAATAGAATTTATGCTTACCTTCAATTTAAACTCTAATGGTAGATCTGCAGATGAAAATTTGTAAATCGCCACAAAATCATCATACAGCTGTAATGAAAATGATACATTCGTTATTTTTTTATTTAATTTTATTATGTTTTTCCTCAAAATATAGTAAATTTGATGAAAAATATAATAAATTCATACAAATTTTGAAATAGAATTTATGCTTACCTTCAATTTAAACTCTAATGGTAGATCTGCAGATGAAAATTTGTAAATCGCCACAAAATCATCATACAGCTGTAATGAAAATGATACATTCGTTATTTTTTTATTTAATTTTATTATGTACTTTATAACAATATATTTTGTTTAGCATTAAAATATCTTGGTATCTTGAAAACGTTTCAGAACGCTAGAACGTGAAATCTGACAGAAATTTGCTGTGGAGTTCGAGAAATGCTTCAATTTTTACACTCCGCACGCAGTGAAAAAAAGCCCTGAAAGTGTAAACATCATCTATTCGGATAAAAATGATGCACCCTCTTTCTCGTTCCTTATGCTCCAGAGTTTTTATTGCTTTATTAAAATAATATTTGCTGTGGCTTTATATACAATGTGAGATTTTTATTTTGAGACAATGAAAGAACTTAATTAGATCTCATTATTTCAGTAAAAGGTTTAAACGAAAGTTATAGTGTTTTGAAGGGGTAATCAATTGGTGACCTCAGATGTGACCTTGACGCTGACCTTCAAGATCATTTGAATGTCAAGTGTTTTTTCAATGGGAATATATACTTATGACCCCAGCAATGGAAAGAGCAGGAAATTTCACACTCGGCCATTGCTCTGTGAACTGAGAATTTCACCTCAAGGTTATCTCAAGTGTTATCATTCGAAGAGCGGCTCAACAAATGCATCAAAGTAAAAGGGCATTATTTTGAACATTTGTTATTAAATTTTTATCTGAAAATAATATCTCAAAAAATGGTGCAAAGTAAAGTGACTCACCAAAAACAAGCACCTCACAGAAAACTGCTATGTTCACATTGTTACTCTTGGAGAATACTAAAAATAGGAAATGCTTTTAAAAATCAAACTAATAAGACTGTGAAAAGTTGTCAAGTTTACCATCCGTTTATTCCATATTCTATTAAAAAAAGCAATAGTTTCCTATTAGAAAAAGTTTATAACCTTAAAATAATCTTGACCTTCGACCTAGACTATAAGGTCAAAGGTATAACTAATTGTGAAATTTTCCGCTCATTCTATCGTCAAGATCTATGTATTCTCATTTAAAAAGACTTGACCTTCAAATGAAGTTGAAGGTCAAGGTCAAGGCCGCCACCGAAGTAACCCATTGATTGTAAAAGTTTGTAAATTTTAAATTTGACTATTTTAAAACTTGACTAGGTAATTTACATGTTAATTAATTAAAAGTGATTTTTTACACAGTGAAATGAACCAGACTGTTATATTAACAATGAATGCTTGTCTTTGGTCAAAGGTTCGTATCATAAAACTGGCATTTTATACTCTTCACTTTTATTTCACACTACGTATAAAACAGATCGTTTTTCATTCCCATTATGCTTTCATATGATTAAAATTATAAAAATTTATTATTTTTAGTACCCTTAAATAACAAATACGATTAACGTCATATATTTAAACTATTTTGAATATAAACATGTAAGAGAAACAGAGCGTTTAGATTCAAATAATATTCAAAAATACACGGTGTTTATAATTAAAGTAGCACTACTTAGACCTGTCTAGAACATGTTTACGTGGAAGTATTTTGATGAAACTTGGTATATATGTTTTATGAACAACGGGGGAATAAGTAAATGGTAAAAAATATATAGTTCGAATTTTTACCATTAGGTGAAAAAATGGTGCATTAAGAACAAGAAAAACAAAATAGAAACCAAGTTTCATCAAAATATGTCCGCTAAAGCGGGTTCTAGACAGGTCTGATTAGCGCAACTATAATTATAACCACCTTATATAAACCTATTTTTGTTACGTGGTCAATACTTACCAATGACACCATAGATGAAAGCAATTTACTTATTACAAGACAACCTCCCAGAAAAGCAAACGAAAGAATTGTAATAAAAAAATTTGTAATCCGGATCTACAGTTACGAATATCACAGCATATAGAAGGACACAAGCAAAGTGCATATAAAATCCATATATTAAAGGTGTTAGCATTTCCCATTCTATGTTCAAATGTTTAAAAGTGTACCATATTTCTACTTGTTTGTTGATAAATTTGTCTAACTTTTTTTTCAAATCTGTATTTTCTAATTTCATATTTTTTAGGTCTTCAGAAAGTTTTATTACTCTGTTTACTGTGACAAAACAGAAACAGAAGACAACAGAGATAACTGATATAATTTGTGCTGAAACATAAATATANGCGATTTTCGTTCGATCAATTTCCAAACATTCGCAGCCGACATTTACCACTTTTTTTTTCTATTCATTTCTAAAGGTCAAACGAAGAGTTTCGTATTTATTCAAAACGCTAAATAATTAATTAAATTAATCGATATTTATAAATTAATTAGTAATTTTAACTAAAACTAATTAATATAACAACCTTTAGCGTTTATAACAATTCTTTTTGGTTACATTTAAACGAAAAATATCGTAAAATTAAATTTTTATCTTTATCGTCGAAGCTTTTTTAATCGTATTATTTTACATTTCGATTTAATTTTAAATATTGTTAGTAAACTTTTATTATTAATTTTGAGTAACTTGTAAATTAGTTTTGACGGTTAGAGGGCGCCCGGCCTATTTTATCGTCTGGTGGTTTGTTATGGAAGATGGCGAATTTGTAGATTTTTACGCGATTCTGGGTTTGACGAAGAATGCCACCAAGGAAGAACTTAAAAAACAATACCATTCTCTTATATTAAAAGTAAATATTATAAATTTAAGATATTTACTGCAATTTGTTAAGAATTGATTTGATAAATGCAAATTTAGTCCTAGATTACAGCCATTTAATTTAACCCTTTAAAATCCATCGGAAGCACGTGGTTAGGCATGCTTTTGAGAAATGCTAATGTAATTTACATTAATCCAGTTTTCTTTATTTTTTTTTAATGTGAATAAAAGAGATCTTCATTAATAAACTATGTAATTCAGTTATCAACAAGCATCTTGCGTGTTAAACCTTCATAAATTGTAAGGGTATGGACTGGATTTGAATACTGATCTTTAAATGTTTCACAGTACAATTACAGCTGTGAATGATTTTAACAGAGCTATAGATCATGTCCATAAGAGCAAAAAAGTCAAAGGAATCGCACCTCTGAATGTGACCTTGTCGAGATATAGCCCCCGAAATCAGCCATGTGCCATGCCCCACTAAGAGTATAGCGTTCGACTATTTAGCCCACGTGACTATGCTGCTTCGAATGACTGTTTGTGCAGTACTTGTATAGTTTTAGGGGTATGGTGGCTCGCACCACCCGGGCATTGAGGTGCGAGCCTTGACGACACGGAACGTGGAGAATAGGCAGTGGTACCAGTACGTGGGGAAAAACAGTTTTTGGTTGGTAGAAGTTAATGCGTTTATTACTTGTTATGCTATATATATAATGTAAGTTGCTTACCGGTGTGATATCTGCCGACAAGATTGTGACTGGAACTGCCAGTGATGGGTTCTGCATTTGGAGGCAGATATCTCGCAAAGGGTCGGATGTCGCACTTTTCTTTATTCTTTGCCGATAAACATTGTTTGATTGTCCGATCACCGTGCTGTACTGTCTGTAAATGTGCAATGGGCTTAAAAGAGCATGTGGCATGGCTCTCCATAGTACCTAGAAGTAGACTTTAGGCTGATTTCGGAGGGCTGTGTCTCGTGAAGGGTTGTGTGTAGAGGTTTGGTTCTTTTGACTTTTCTGCTCTTATGGACGTGCTCTATGTTTCTGATTAGGTCCCAACAGCATCATTTGCAACTGCAATCTGCAATTGTTGTAAAGATTGGGAGTTAAATCCAGCCCATACCCTTACAATTTATGAATAGTTGGAATTGCAGTGTTCTTCCTTCTCTCTCACTTGCAAGTCTTGTTGTAAGATTATGGAAGGTATAAATACGGCTTGGAATGAGGTAGTCGGGATGTTATCGGAGTCGTGGAACGTGCCCTTAGGAGTGAAAAGGTCGTACTGATGGACTGTATGTGATCCTTTCTGATTTATTCCCAAAATTAGCCTTGTTAAAGGTGCGATGGATGTAATGGAGCATGCACTGTGACTCCAATTGCACCTCGGAAGTAGTCGGTGCAATGGCATTTCTTGTTTATATGAACTTTTAACCATCTCTAATGAAGTGGAAAATGATTGACTTTTAGCAATTTTGAGAACTAGTTTTGGATTTTTTCACTTTTAAATTTTACCCCATTTTTTGAGGGTCTTCAAAATTCCAAATAGGCCAATTTTGGGAGCTATAACTTACAAAGGGTCATGTAAAAGTTCCTTTGACTTTTTTAATCCTGTGGGCATGATCAACAGCTCTGATAGGGCCCCAACTGCCTTGTTTGGAGCTGCACATGTGCCAATTAAACTTTATATCAGTAAATTTGATTTTACTTACAGAAACTTTAATATAATGGAATAATTGACAACTTCAAAGACAAAAAGAGCATTAAACTTCAGTTTTGTCTTTCTACAAACTAGCCAGACAAGTATGGATGCAGTAAAATTTAATAATACTATTAAATAAAAGGCTCACTACCCTTAAATCATTAATATTATAAAGAGGAGAAATTGTTCTATGTAATTTTTAATATTTTTAGGATAAAGTCTTATTAATTTAAACTAATGTGACAGGCAATGAACAATTGTCAGATTATACTCAAGATTTTCTCTGTAATAGTATAAAAAATAGCAATAATTACCATAGATAATTGGATTATACATTAAGAACTTCCCTAACAAATATAACTTTATATGCCATCCAATTAAGTGATGTGATTGACTAAATGTCATGAAGGCCATTAGACAGTGTGTTATTTCTGAGTAGCAAAGCAAAATATAATTAATTCCTTATAAATTTTAAAGAAATAATTAACTATAAGCTACAATACTTATGTATTTTTAAATGGTTTTGCTTATTTATGTATGTTAATTATTAAAATTACTACAGCATCATCCTGACAAAACAAAAGTAGAAGATTCTGTTTCACATTTCTGTAAAATTGATGAAGCCTGGAAAACTCTAAGTAATGATCAACTGAAAAATGAATATGATGCAAAACTAAAAGGTGAGTGATGGTTTTTAATTATTATATTTGTTGAAATTAAATTATTTGTATTAGTTAAATATTTAACTATTAATGTTAAATAAAAATTTATTTTATTTTATTTATCTTTTTCTTCTACATGTTCCTTGGCTTCTGTATTAAATAATTCATGTTATAGAACAGGGATAGGCAACCTTTATGTATGTAAGGCCAAGACTCCGCTAGCGTAAAAACGGGCGTAAAACCCCTCGTTGTAAAAGCTTTTAATTACGTGACCGTGATATTTTATGCCCGAGCAGATCGTAAAACCAGTGTAAAAGCGAGTTGAGCAGTGTTCAACTTTCGACGCAAATACGACCGTAAAACGGTGTCATCCGCCAATCAGAAGTCAGTGAAATCTAGATCATTGATTTATTAATTGTTCAAAAATTACAAAGTATTCTTTATATATTTTGTTATCTGTTTATGTCAACACAGAAAGGAATTCAAAACTTCTAATAACTCATAAACTTAAAAATAATTATATGAAATTTATAATTATTAAGTTGATTATATCATTTTTTTTTCTAGTTCTTGAATTTCAACCATTATTCCATTGATTTATATGCAAATAACAGTTGTAAAGATTTTATTTTATTGATAATTTAAGGTTTTCTACAATACTATAAATTACTGACCAGAATGACGGTTTATATAGGCTATACATATACATAATTCTTTTCAGAGACAGCTTAAACATCTTCTAGTTTACAATATAATAAACTTTAAATCTCTCAAAAATTGATAAAAAATGTAAAATCAATCTTTAATAATTCTAAATTTATTTCATTCTTTAGCTTGGGAATTGAAAAATACACATGCAGTACATGAAGAAGTGAAAATTAGTAGTATGAATAAAATTTCAGGTAATATATTTTTATTAAAAAAACTTACATTATGCAGTGTAAAGTTAAATTATATTGTATAAAGCAGTATACACAGTGTGTATTGATTTTATAAATATTTTTTGTATTCATAACATCTCATAGCTTGTTTCTGCTTTCCAAGAATATGCTTTATTATAAATTATACAAGGTATTTATTTGTAAGATACAAATTTGTTACTATTACTTGGGAACATACATTTGGGTCATTGAAGGCCAAGGCTCTCACACATTATTACCATATAAGGAAGTTAAAATAAATCTTAATTTCATTAAAGAACACTTGTATTACCTAAATAAATTGTTATTGTGACAGATTTAACATGCAAACAAGCTATGAACAATTTTCTTTTATTTCTGTTCATTCTGAAACACAATCCTTAAGCTAACAGATGATAAATCTGAGAATTTTTGTAGTTTTATTCTGAATTCTGGCCTAATAGTAGTAAAAATTAAATTAAACCTTGTTGCAAACTCTTCTAATCTTCCTAGCTGCAAATCAAAATTTTTTGAAAAAGTAGAACAGGTTACAAACTTTTGAGTAATGCCCAAATTGTCACACAGGATGACATGTATTATGAACACTCATCATATGATCCTATTTATTTTCCATAGTTAATATTTACAGTAAAAACAACTGTGAAATTCCATTATTATAACTATACAGTAGTAACGAGATAGTCTATTAGTAATATATAGAATTTACTGGATTTACTAGACAATTTTTAATTTTACATATAATGTTTGATTACCTTTATTCTTTCAAAAATTGCAAGAGCTCATTCAGCATACTACAGAATTTATTTTACAGAACTTTTGTAATTTAAAAAATTTTAAATAATAGTAAAGCAATGATAAACATATCCAAAGTTGAGTAGATTTTAAAAATATAATTTCTTAATACTTACGGAAATTGTATGATTTCTATTAGACGAGAGTTACGAGAGAAGTTGCCGTTGCGGCGGATCTTACATACTAGATCCAGAAGATTTAAAGTACGGCAGCTGTCTCGTCATAGAATGCGACAGTTGTTCGTTAAATATTTTGGTTCAGACCGGACTTTAAGATGTGTTTTTGTGTTAAGCAAGAATTTGAATGTTAGATGAACACAAAAGTGAGTTGGTTTTAATAATTTTTGAGAAATGAATTATTCTGTACAATTATTGATACAAAGCACGTTTATAAAAATATAAATTTATTTATTTATTTCAAGTTAAAATGTGTAAGTTCTGTTTAATATATGAATTGTTTTACGAATGATTTTTATTCTAAAAAATCCTCAAATGTTTCTTTCTAACGAAACAATTTATGGAACTCTGTGTATAAATATAGTAAACAACTCTTGTATTTATCTTTTGAAAATAGGTACCTTTAGAAATATTAACGAATGTTTAAAATTCCATTAGAATTTGGTTAGTTCATCATATACAAGGATCGAGTTAATTAATTGCAGCAAATTAGATTTCTTTTTAAAATCGTATTTGGAAAAAGGTGGGCTACACTGATTAATTAAGCAATAGTCAAAAAAGATTCTCTATCGCGAAGCTGCACGACACTATGAAAAATTATTCCCCTTGAATCTGGCATAATATAACCACAAATTGCTTTATAATTCCGTTCATTCTCTACTGCTGGAGGCTATAGTTGATCCAAAATATAATCAAATTTTTTTACCTTTAATATTATGCAAAGATAGCTGGCTCAGTTAATTTGCCACAAAGTTAGAATGATTGAATTGAGCTATTTTATGGATTAAAAAAAATAACATTTCTGTTTAATATCTTTCCTTATTACCAAGCTATGAAAGTGAACTTTCACAAAACGTTTCGAAAATTCAAAAAAATCACATCAGGAAAATTCTGAGAAGCATTTCTTGGTCACATTCTTATCGATAATTTCAGTGTGTGTCCAATGCTATATTGTTTAAAAAATGCCTGAATATATTCTTTTATATCTAACTAAAAAACAGACTAAGAGAAATGATCAAGTTCAAACAGTTTAGCAGCGAATATAAATTTATTAGAAAAAAAGTATATGAATTTTTGAATTATCAAGAGGAAACTGTAATTTAATATAACATTAAAATTCTAAACGATTTTTGTATTTTATGTACTCAATAGTATGAATTTCGTAGGAAAAAAGTAACTATTAAACAACAACATCAGGGTTATACAACAGTTAAAATGAATTTATAATACTTGTGTAATAATATCCGAAATAATTAATTCAAATAAAATGAATTTTTATTTCAAGTAGTAAACTTGAAATTAACCGTAAAATTTAAATTTGATATTACGATAAGAATGGTCGTTACATAACTGAAAGTTTACAAATATATTTCAGAATAAATCAAATTCTAATGTTTTACCTTTAAATTTTTATTGCTCTTTTATTCAGATGCTGTATTTACTTTCTGTTGTCTCATGTATTAAATAAAACGAGAGAAAAGAACTATTCTGGCTGTATGGAATTTGTATACGAAATTTGAACGAGAAAGTATACGGAAACGACGCCTTACCAAAGTTCTGAAAGTATTTATATCGTAAATTTCAATTAAATGAACATTATCTGGACTTAAATCATTGTGAATATTAATTTTCTGCAATAATATGTTTATAAACACAATACAGTCAGGCTGTGTATCATGCTTACACTGGCTGTAATCACGCTTTTCATATTAAGAAATAAAACCACGCTCAAAAATCCGGAACAACACTGGTCTTCTTGTAACCACATTAACGAACAAGTACTGTATTCTAAACTACATTCAAATCGAAGAAATGAAGATATTTATTAGTATGAATAATGAATTATTCAAATAGATTGATACCTTTTTTAATATTAAAATATGGACATTTTATGAATATAAATTGCATTATGTACTTCAAGTTATTTTTAAAACAAAATGATGTATAATATCTGTGCTTTTATGAATAATTGAATAAGTGTCTTTTATATAATAACAGAAATANGCGTTTAGATTCAAATAATATTCAAAAATACACGGTGTTTATAATTAAAGTAGCACTACTTAGACCTGTCTAGAACATGTTTACGTGGAAGTATTTTGATGAAACTTGGTATATATGTTTTATGAACAACGGGGGAATAAGTAAATGGTAAAAAATATATAGTTCGAATTTTTACCATTAGGTGAAAAAATGGTGCATTAAGAACAAGAAAAACAAAATAGAAACCAAGTTTCATCAAAATATGTCCGCTAAAGCGGGTTCTAGACAGGTCTGATTAGCGCAACTATAATTATAACCACCTTATATAAACCTATTTTTGTTACGTGGTCAATACTTACCAATGACACCATAGATGAAAGCAATTTACTTATTACAAGACAACCTCCCAGAAAAGCAAACGAAAGAATTGTAATAAAAAAATTTGTAATCCGGATCTACAGTTACGAATATCACAGCATATAGAAGGACACAAGCAAAGTGCATATAAAATCCATATATTAAAGGTGTTAGCATTTCCCATTCTATGTTCAAATGTTTAAAAGTGTACCATATTTCTACTTGTTTGTTGATAAATTTGTCTAACTTTTTTTTCAAATCTGTATTTTCTAATTTCATATTTTTTAGGTCTTCAGAAAGTTTTATTACTCTGTTTACTGTGACAAAACAGAAACAGAAGACAACAGAGATAACTGATATAATTTGTGCTGAAACATAAATATATAGGAATGCCATGGTAACAGAGCAAACGAATGCTTCACTGTTTGAACCATTTTGTTTTTTGATTTCTATGTATACAACAATCTGTGAGAGAATCGAAACACTTAAAAAAACAACAAATAATAATATAAGTAAACAAATGTGTAAGAGTTGCATTTTATCAATTACTTTATACTCTTCCTTGTACCAACTTTGAGGAAAATGCAAAGATAATTTTCTTCTTTTCAAAATACTGAACTGTGCCGCTGCATACAAGATTAGTGCCGTATTTACCACTGCACCATGCAACGCGTAATCCTTTAAATAATACACGATTCGTAAGCAATAAAAGTCTAAATTAAATATCCAATAAATATAAACAACAGCAACTGTCCATAATACAACTTCGATACAATCACAATATATTTCAAAGAATTTTGAAAGTTTTGTTTTTTCATCGCTTCTTCTTTGTAACATGCAATGACACGGAATTACCAAATCCATTCCAAATACTTTTATCGAATCCAAAATAGGATGTATGATGACACCGGGACATATGTTCTGTGGTTCGGGATAATTCATTTTCGAACTACAGGAGTACGATTATAATCTGTATTGTTCTGCTGTAGCTTGGTCTGCCTGTTTCTCCTCGCTAGTTTCTCAACTGCAATCAGTTATATTAAAACGAATGTAATAATGGACACTGCTTTGGACAAAAATTTGCTTTTCTTGTTATATAAATTTAATAACGGTCAGAAGAATAATTTTGTGTTTGCGTTAATAAATTGAACATGTTTAAGTAAATAGAGCAGTTTAATGCAAAGACCAATAAAATGTTAAAGTGGAATTATTAAATATAGATTTACTCTGCTGTATACTACGAAACGTCTACTTATATAAAGACCATTTCTAGTATAACGAGATTTACATTTGTTATTTAATTCAGTAGTAAACCTAAAATTGGAAACATTAATATCTGAATTAGTCGTTTCAGATATTTGAATGTTAGATTTACTACTTTTTAAATAACAGATCTAAATCTCGTTATACTTGAAATTGTTGTTATATAAGTAGACGTTTTGTATACCGCAGAATAAATCTACGTTTAATGGGTTTTCCTTCTACTTATTGATCTTTGTATTCAATTGCTCTATTTACTTTTATCATTAATATCTGAAACCAATAATTCAGATTTTAATGTTTCCCATTTTAGATTTTCTACTGAATTAAATCTCGTTATACTCGGAATTGTCGTTATATAAGTAGACGTTTCGTAGAATACTGCAAAATAAATCTATGTTGAATATCTTGTGTTATTGTGAAACTTGATGTTCCACAAGTTCTTTCACTCTTTGAAAATTTCTTATTTTACTCTTGTTTATTATATTCGATTATAAATTGATAATTTTTGTAAAATTAAAACAAAATGCATTCGAACTTAACACATTTAATTATTTTAAAACATTAATTTTGTCGCTTCTGTAAATTTTATTTATATATCTAAATTAGTTTATTTTATAGTAACTGATGCGAAGAAATGAAAATTTGAAATCTACCACGGGGAATGCAAACATTTTTATTATTATTATAGGTTAATACTGCTGCTTTCATTCATATTGCGTAATTTACCTTATTAAAATTACAACTGTATCTATATCTATATATATATACAGTAGAGCGTCGATTTTCCGAAAGTCAATCATCCGAAAGAATTCCAGTCGGCAAATTTAAATTTTCGCCAGTGCTGTGGCGCTGCAATCTTTGGCTATGTGTTGGGCTACTCAAATATTTTACGTTTTTAATACTAAATTAACATCTGAAGTATAATTTTTTATTGTTTTTATATTTTTCAATATATTTATTTTGTTTGTACAAAATAAAAAAAATAATTTCTAACGATACAATAGTCTTCGTTAGGCTTAACATCGACGAAAATTTAACGCGAAGCGACACGCAACGAAGAAAAATTTCAACATCGGATGCGTTAAACTATTTTTTCGTACATAAATCGGTTATCCGAAATATCAGTTATACGAACAACCCCAGTTTCCAATTGATTCGGAAAATCGACGCTCTACTGTATATATATATATATATATATAAATAGACGTGTGTGTCCCTATATTTCACTTTTTCGCCAAAACTACACATTGCACATGAATGGTGTTTGTATGTGGTAGTAGCCCCAAGTTTTCATTCGTGCACTATAGTGGTTGCGTCTCGATACCTATAAGGGTGCGGTAGATATAGGGCTAAAAGTGGTAGAAAGTGGTTTTCTATTTCGAATTTTATGTTCGAATTTTTTCGAATTTAATTTGAACAATATTTGAATTTAAATTCGAACATAAAATTCGAATATTGGTTCGATTATAGAACGATTGTAAACGTTCCAGAAACGTTGAAAATTGTTCCTTTGACTGGATGTGAACATGAGACGTTCAGAAATAGAAACGGGATCAGGTCTCTAATTAGTCTGGTAACGAGGGACCTAATTCTTGCATTCCTTGAAAACGGGTAAGAT